AAATTCACGGGAAAACGTTCTGGTAAATAGTAATAAATTGTTAACACAGAGATATGTCTCGCCTTTTTGTTATTTTGATAATGAAAATGTCGATATCAAGATAGTAATACTTTTATTATAAATTAACATATAATTTATGCAAATATTCAAAGACAATGAACCATGACTGAAGGTACAGGGCTAAAGGCAATCTCCATGGAAATGAGATGTGCCAATGCTAATACAACTTCATACCAAATATCACTGGCTTATCATATTAAGTTGTTCACTTTAAACAAACCTAAACAAAAACATTAACTTGTAAACTATGTAAAAGTTTCAAAGTCAATGAACCATGATTAGGGGTGGGGCTATATCATCTCCATGGAAATGAGACTTGCAAATGCCAATTCATTTGCATACCAAATATCACTGACTTAACATTAGTGGGTCATCTTAAACTGATCTAATCACAAACTAACACATGTAAACTAATCAAAAGTTTCAAAGTCAATAGACCATGACTGAGGGGTAAAGACCAAATATTCACCATGGAAATGAGATGTACTAATGCTTAAAAAACTGCATACCAATTAATATTGGCCTACCACTAATGGTTCCCCTTGAACTGACCTAAACACAAACTAATACATGTATACTAAGCAAAAGTTGCAAAGTCAATAGACCATGACTGAGGGGGCGGAGCCAAATAATCTCCATGGAAATAAGATATGCCAGTGCTTAAACAACTGCATACCAAATATCATTGACCTCACTAGTGGGTCCCCATAAACTGACCTAATCACAAACTAATACATGTAAACTAAGCAAAAGTTTCAAAGTCAATAGACCATGACGGAGGGAACATGGCCAAATAATCTCCATGAAAACGAAATGTGCCAATGCTAATACGACTGCATACCAAATATCATTGACCTACCACTAGTGGTTCACCATAAACTAGATTTAATCACAAACTTATATGTGATTGACGCCGCCGACGCCGCCGCCGACGCCGGAAACAGCATACCTATGTCTCGCCTTTTGACTCCGTCAACGCGAGACAAAAAGTGATACCTCAGGATGACTTTATGTTTAAAGATCTATGTGACAAAAAAGCGACCAATAAAAAATAGATTTTTAACCTTTTTCACCGAAGACTAAAATTATCAATGTCCATTTAAGCGACAGACATTTTTTCCATTTTCAATTATTTATTATTGTAAAAGCACCACAATATTGAAATGTTACATTTCATTCAGCTCAAAAAGTATGAATATTTTGTACAATAAAAATCCATTCATCTATTGCAATTGGTTTCCATACGTTAACAAATGTTAAAACCAACAGTATCCGTTACAAGTGATGGTTGAGCAGTTTTACATTTTAATGTAATTGTAATTATGTACCATACTATTTCATGGCCTTGAAAACAAGACTTCGTCGATCCAACAATAGCACGTTATTATCCTTGGTTTTTTAAACAACATTCAAATTAATGTTGATATAAACATCTAGTTATGAATAAACAAAACTGTGAAGAAATAGAAGCTGTCAAATTAATTTAAACCGAATAAATTAAGCTCTCCATTTTTTCGCTATAATGTTTTGGGCCCCTTAACTAATTATGCATCTGACCTCCTCAAACAAAGCTGTTACGGGTCTGGGTTTTCTTATTTGTCTGTTAAATTATTGACATTTCTCAAGCTAAACTTCCATGCTCAGGTTTATAAGCTTTCGAAAGTATCCAACTTTATATATCTGAGATTCTCATCCTAGTTTTTGACACCGCACAATTGATTAATGATCATTTATTAAAAATGTTAAAAATTCTTCTGTCTACCCATCTTCCAGCCATTCCAATCAACTGAAAAAGAAATAATGCACATTAAAGATACATATATAAACACCTATAATGTTCTCACAAAAGTTACATGCAATTATAAACAGTTACAATGTCCTCATCATAAAAAGGTGCACACATTTATAAACACTAACAAGGGTGCATGATGTAGAGCAGGATCTGCTAACCCTGCCGGAGCACCTGAGATCACCCTGGTTTTTGGTGTAGTTCGTGTTGCTCAGTCTTTAGTTTTCTTTTTTTGTGTTTTGTGGACAGTTGTTTATCATTTGTATGTTTTTGTTCATTATTTGCCATGGCATTGTCAGTTTTTTTCGATTTATGAGTATGACTATCCATTTGGTACTTTCCGCCTCTCTTTTATAATGCTCACATACGCTGCACATATAAACACATACAATATTCGCAAACTTGAAAAGCTACACTTATAAAACACGTATGATATTCTAGTAAAGGCTACACAAAGTTCTTATAAAGCTACACACATTTCTTATGAAAGCTAAACAAGTTTTTTATAAAAGCTACATAAAGTTCTTATAATAGCTACACAACAATCTCATAAAAGTTAACATATCAAAATCAGCAATGATGCCAGCCTTATAATTTAGTACGTCAGACACCCATTTCGTCAACATAAGACTCGTCATTTGCGCTCGGATCATAAAAGCTGGAATATCAAATCAATAACGATCGAAGTTGAAGAGCATTAAATACCAAAGATTCAAAAAAGTTTTGCTTGTATATATATACATTTGTACAGTATTCACAGAAAATGACCGTGTCAATAGAAACACACACTGTTATCAAAAAGCAACACATATGAACACTTAACAGCTCTCGTGAACACTTACAACGTTGTCATAAAGCTACACACACAAACACAAAAAATATTATCATAAATGCCAGACATATCAGCACCTACAATGCTACCATAATGTTTTAAAATTTTACCCCTCCCCCCTTTTTCCTCTTCCTTCGTTCTAATTAATCATGTAATATTTGTCACTGGACTTAAACCTAATACTATTTAAAAATCCATTTGTCATTTTGAACACTAAAATATGTAAAAAGCCTCGCCTTTCGGCATGTCACTTAAGCTCTTAAAAATAAATTATATATTTTCGAGAAACCGTCTTAGCTTAAACGTGGACCGCGAAGAGGACCCTAAAATGAACTATGGCATAAACAAAATTTGTTTAACAATACCGTAGCAGGATAACATGATATTTTATTTGTTCATTTAAGGAATGACTGTAATATTTTTTCTGTCTATGAAGAAATAACATCAAAAATGTGGTGCACACTGAATAACCCGTGTAGCGGTTTTATTGAAAAGTGTGCACCACACTTTTCAGGTTATTTCAAATAGACAGAAAAAATATTACAGTCATTCCTTATAATTTTATTTTAAATTCCATTTTAAGGAGCAAATCATGAAAAAATGTTGATGACATGACAAAATTTTGTCTATGAGCTGATAGACTAAAAACTTTTAGCCAATCAGAAGACATGTTACACCCAAATTAAATTATATAAATAAAGCAAAAATGTATCTGTGTATACGATAATTGGCTGATTGTAGGATGACTAAAATCCTTTAAATACTGTATTGTTTGTATCTTTAGATGAAATGTCTTATTTTTCTGTTGTTGGCTTGCTGTTTCATTGACACTGTACCCGTCATTTCCTTTAATTCTTATCATTAAAATACTGATATTATATATTATTATAGAGTTTATAAAAGGTGGACGGTTGAGTGATAAAAACCTTGTTTACACCCACCACATGGGCCTGTTCCAATTTATGAACGTCGTTAGTGGTTGTCTTAAGGATGTTCGCATGTCTTGTTTTTGACTTTTTCTCAGATATTCGGAATCCTCTCGTTTGATCCATGTTGCGCGATTACAAAATTTACCCGCTAACCCTTACTTTTCTTTTCATAATTTTTATACATATAGTTTAAAAAGCTATTTTTCGAAATCTTATAAAATCCTTGTTTTTTCAGTTTTTGAAAGAATAAAGGTGCCAATGTTGAACGTATGAAAAATATAGAGATATTATTTCCCGCCAAATTTTGAGAAGGTTATATCAAAAAAAAAAAAAGAAGGAAACATATATACCTTGCTTTGTTTATGCTATTATAGTTCCGTTATAAATATATATGCTATCAATGTATAACAGTCGTTTAAAAAGCTAGTTACTTTGAAACAGATTAGCAAACATCCTTAAATTATATCCTTTTTTTATTAACTTTTAGGAAAGGAAGAAGTATGATAAGAGCCAATATATCGCCCCTGAAATTGCAAAAATAGTACACGTATATAAACAAGTTGGTATAATCTGGACATTTAAGTGCGTATTTTCCTTTTTTGACCTAAAATGGCCATTTCATGCATTTTTTTCAAGGTACATATGAGCAACAGCTTTACCCAAACAGATTTTTTATACCCATTAACATTTTGAAAAGTACTTTTTGTAGCAAAATATCTTTTTGGGTTAAGATGTTTGTCATAACTTTAAAATTCTCAAAATGAGAATATTTTGACAGTTTTTGCTATTTTGCACTTAATGTAACCAGTCTGAATCCCTTGTGCCAATATATAAGACAAAATTCAAAAATATAAATACTGATTTTGACAGACTAATGTCTTATCAACAACCAAAGGCTGTTATTTGATAGATTTATAATACTTTTTGAATTTCGAATTTAAGGGGCTAAAAAGTGGCCTTATCAAAATTCTCCTTTGATGTTCCGAATTCAAGGGGCTAAAAAGCGTCCTTATTAAAATTCTCCTTTGGTGTTCCGAATTCAAGAGGCTGAAAAAGTGGCTCATCATACCTTCTCCTTTTGTGTTTCAAGTATTTCACAGCTTTTTTTCAGAATCTAATGCATTCTATGCACTATTTTCAAAAGTGTACACCAAAACTTCATGAATGGTAAGAAACATCCTACATAATGAAAATTTAACCAATGACGTGACGTTATTTTCACTTTGGGGTACGGACAATTAAATTATCCAGACCTTTAGATTCTGAAACGATCAATCGACCTTATTATAAGATGTCTTTTTGGTTTGTTTTGGTTTTTTGTTGTTGTTGGGTTGCTGTCTCGTTGGTGTTTAATCCACATTTTCTTTCAGTAATAAAAAGAATAACTTACGCTGTATTTGGTACATGTATCTTCTTTGAACCATCCCCCGAGGTCCGTATATACCTGAGATTGGTATGGTTTGTGGAGTTTTTCACATAGCATGCAATAATCGCCGATAGCTTTCCCAAGTTGGTATTTTTTCTTCCATTCAAAATACTGTTGGAAAAGAGTCTCGTTAGTACTCACTTTCTCTATATAATTAACAAAATCAGTTATGTTTTTGAAGTCAAAGAAATTTATATACGAATTTGGTATTACAGTTGGGTTTATTTGCCCATGAATCCAATTAACAATAGGAATAGTATCACTTTCCGCCAAAGTACTCCAATATTTTTCAGTCACGTAATGACGACAATGAGAATTTTCAAAAGCTAGTCTAAATTTATATAAATTCAATATTTCTTTTGGATGGCATGGACCATTAAAATTAGTACACTTCCGATTGCTACAACGGCCGAACAATTCCACATCAATATATTTCATAATCTCTTTTATCAATTTAAATCGTCTACCAGCATCATGGCAATTACTTATAGATGCATACATGGTTCTGTTTTTGTTTTTTAAAGACACAAGCGGTGGCGTTGGCGTGTTCTTGCTTTTAGGCACATAACCTCCATAGGAACCAAGAATAGTCGAATAATTCCTGTAGGAAATTGTCCAATTAAAAATCCCATTCATCCAGTTATAATTCTTTTTTATTAAGGCAGTTGGTTCAAGAGTATATAGAATCCATGGTTGTCGACGAACTCTTAGGCCTGGTATATCATTAATGTCTATATCAGCGTCATGAAATATAATGGCGTCACTCAGCGGAAGATTCCCTCGATTATAGGTTGCTGTACATGCGTAATCACAATTTTGTAAATCATTATTTATTCCTTTAGCCCATTTTTCTACTGTTTTGAAAAATGGTGTCCATACTAGTATCTTCTTTGTCTTTCTTGTTGTATCGTTAAATATGTCTTCAAATTTATGAACATAATTGTCTTCTTCAACATGTCCTAAATTGTACGCCATTCGCGGAATCAAAGTAAATTTGAAATCCAAATAGGCAAGTACCATTGTAAGACAAATTATCAACGAGACAGCAAAGTATAGTGTAAGTCTAGGTCTCTGATATTTCATTTGGTAACTGAAGTAACTGCTGGCGTTTAGCGTATCGTTATATTCTTATGTGATAAATGAAGTAACTGCTGGCGTTTAGCGTATCGTTATCTTCTTATGTGATAAATGAAGTAATTGTTGGCGTTTAGCGTATCGTTATCTTCTTATGTGATAAATGAAGTAGCTGCTAGCGTTTAGCGTATCGTTATCTTCTTGTGTGATAAATGAAGTAACTGCTGGCGTTTAGCGTATCGTTATCTTCTTATGTGATAAATAAAGTAACTGCTGGTGTTTAGCGTATCGTTATCTTCTTATGTGATAAATGAAGTAACTGCTGGTGTTTAGCGTATTGAAATCTTCTTATACTGATGTAAAGCGTATTGGTATGTACTGATGTATAGCGTGCTGTACGTCTACAACAGATAATAAAATTGTGTTACTTTATTTTGGCAGATGAAATAACTTCTGATGTACAGCGTCAAGATAAATATCTGAAAAAAAAATAATTTCGGTAACAATTTCGGTAATATCTACTAGACTGCTAGTTCAAGATTTACTTGGCTTCAGAGATTGGCGATCATTGGCAAGTGCCTCAAATAGAGATCGTTAGAAAAAGTATTAACAAGAGAAACAAATATATGTGATGTTGTACAGATAAATCAAACACAAGTTTTATTGATTGATAATGTCTAGTGGCAACTATTAGGCATATTCAGGACAATAACAAACACAATCTGAATGTTATGGTTTGGTAAGTCATTGGCAGCATCGACTTGTATAATGATCCAAAAAAATCGTAAATGTTTAAGATTGAGGATCATGATTAGATCAATTTTCCTGAAAATAAGTAAGGTAAAATAGAACTCTACAATAGCTTAGGTGTCATACTGTGGCACCGTTAAAGTCCACAATTCCTCTAAAGTCCACAACACCGCTAAAGTCCACAACGCCGTTAAAGTCCACAAACTTTCCGCTAAAGTCCACAAAATGACCTCCGCTAAAGTCATCAATAACAAGTTACGCTAAAGTCCACAAAAAACACCGTTAAAGTCCACACAACTTTTTTTTTATTATTAAAAAATCAATTCGCTTTTTTTCTTAATCCCGATGGTATAGAGCTACTAAAAAGCATGGACTCCTGTTCTTGGAAAGTATTTCTTATCCGCTTGAATTATATTTTTTATAAATGAAAAGATTCTGATTTTGATCCCCATGAAAGATCTTTGTATTGTGATTTTCTATGAATCAAACAGGCAACATTTCTGAAAATTTATCTAGCTATGGTGCTCTTTTTGTATTTTCTTTGGTAACCATTTATACACACTGACATATCTTGGAGCCTATATTTGACATTGAAATTTCGTTTGCAAATATCTTTGCAAATATCTATAAAACATAAGAACGAAATTCCATTCAGTTTCTGTTATGCTCCACAGCAGCCAAAACGGTCCCTTATTCCAAAAATAGACTTTAAACCATAATGTTCTTGTTTGAAATCAAAATAATGATAAATAAAAGAATTCCACACATGCATTTTGTGGTGCTATGCAGATTTCGATCACTCATTAGTTTGCATGTTTGTTTGGTTTTCAAAAAGGAAAATGTATTTGTTTCAGAATGCGTTGAAGATGAATTGAATAGATTATACACAGATACGGTTCTGTATTATGTCTTACCCATGATGAGTACAAGTATAAAAGATTTGCGCACATTTTTAGAATGAAGCGCTTCCGCGCTTCATACAAAATGTACTTCGGTCAACGCTTTTACACCCCAATGAATTTACAAAAAGAAGCATTCAATTCTTAAATACAGGCATTTGTTAAAATCTTACACTTATATTGTTACAATTACAAGAATAAAGAGAATAAGCGAACATTCAATCAATTGAAATGAATTATTTATTTTCTTTTTTGGCACCCTCGCCCACAAGGAACATTAGATTTTTTACATTTACATGTTTTATTTGTTCATGCATATTCCTTTCCATTTACATTTTTTAGTAAAGTTCCTAAATATTCTAAAAACTTTTCTTCCCACATTGTTTACTTCCAATAACTTCAATTTCAGCGAGCGTAATTCAATTTCGTGTATTACAGACATGCTAAATACAAAAGATTACCATATCAAATGAACATGACTTTTTTTGAATAATTAAAATTTTAAGTTTTTATTTCAATTGCAATAGAACTTTTTGTATTAATTTAAGATTTCAGTTATGTTGATTTGTTATGTACATTTGTATCTAATACACAAAATTAAGCAGACCGTACGCGTACAGTCCGACCGTATGCGTATTTTGAAAAAGTACGCATTCGCTCCAGACCGTACGCGTACGGTTCAAATACTAATATGGTCTGGAACATATATGTTGTAGGTCACTGTAAAACAATTTGAAGATGCAAATTTGATCAAAACACTCCTAAATAAAATTGTCTGAACTTGCATAAACTAGGTTTCAGATTTAGATGAGAAAATCATCCGACTCTAATACCATGAACTTGCAGATTATTTTAAACAAGACTTTGACCACCCACTTTACTTCCGACCTGGTAGGCAAACATTTCCAATTGACAACATCAAAATTAAAATATTACTCTGATTTCAAGTTTGCCAGGTATTACTAAACAAATCAATGTGGCTGCTCGTGTCTTTGTTCCTTCCCTTGATTTGTTTGGTATCAAAAAAATAAGAAAGGCGATCAACATTACTTTCGTTTTTTTTGTTTTTGTTTTATGAGAATTGATAATGATGAAGTATAGAATGAACATTCAAATTTAATAAACAACAGGAAATTCTGTACAACATAAACATATCTAAATATTATTAAAACTAGAGTATCATGTGATCTTAAGCTTGTATCGTTCACTTGACCTAAATATGATCATTGTTGGTTTTAAGGAACACATAGCTTTTTCTATTGAAGCGTATTCTAAACTTTGGACCTCTAGTGTTCGGTCCCCATTGACATGCATTTCTTTAAACTAAATCTTCACATCCATTCTACTGAAGCTTCGTAGGAAAATCTAACATCTTACATAGCTTAATGACCAACAGGATCATGTACTTGACTTGACTTTCAATCGTACAATAATGGCTTCGATATAATCCTTTACTCGTAATCTTATACCGAAATTTACATCTTTAGGACCCTGTACCGTACACATTCTCAGTAAAACAATCATGTACTTCGTTATTGGTGAACAAGGTAAATTCAAAGCTAAATTAAATGTACGAATACTCAGAATTCTTATCTAACTATTTCATCCGTGTTAAAAATCTAACACTGCCTTTTATAATAACTAGCAAGTAACTGATAGACAGGCATTCTGCATTAAATAAATGAAAATATAACTTCTTCCTCTTTTTGTAAAAATCAACATAACTTTATAATGTAATTGTTTTTTTACATTTTTTTAGTAGTTAACCTACTAATTATATCAAATTGTAATCACTTTAATGACATCAAATCCAATGTACGGATGTTTCAGACCATATGCGCATTTAGACCATACGCGTATATGGTCTGGATAGTAGACGAACTTATTCAAAATACGTATACGGTCGTATTTTAAGAAATTTTAAGAAATTTGTCAAATCTAGAATTAAAAAATGAAATAAAAACTTTAACTAAATATAAAAGTCACACTACATTGTAACTTTATCAGTTAATCTCCTGTATTAAGTATGAAATTGAGTTAAAATGCTCACTGAAATACAAATAATTTTGGAAGATAAGTTTTTTAGAAAAATTAGGAACTTTACTACAAAAATTCGTAAGGGTTCCGCGGAACCCAGTGTCTCGCCTACTTTTGCTGTTATCTGTGTTTTCAGTGTGATAGGGGAATGCACATAATAGATTTACAGTTAATGAAATAAAACGTTTGAAATGTATGAAAAAAGTTATGCTCGTAAAAATGAATACAGTATGCAATCAAATCTATAGATTTATAAAAGAGTTGAAACATAAATTTATTGAATGAACAAATGATAAAGAAGATAATTTTTACATTGTTTGATGATTTATCCCTTAATTCAGACGACGACGGAATGTAGGATTGCTATGTCAACAAAAATGGGGAAAAAATTACTAAAAATTTTCCTCTTGATACTATCTTTTTATTGTAAGAAGCTTTTGTCCAAGTTTGGTAAAAATCCAGGATGGTTAATGAATCTAATAAATGTTTTTAAAACTTTAACTGCAGACTGTATGTAATGTTAACTGGAAGAAAAACTAAGTCCATTTATAAGTAATATACGGAAAAACAGGAAATAAATTTTCACAAAATTTCCTTCTAGATACTAGCTTTTGATCATAAACAAGCTTCTGTCCAAGTTTGGTAAAATTCCTGTATAGTTTACGAAAGTTATCAAAATTTTAAAAACATTAACCACAGAGTGAATGTAATGTTAACTGGCAGAAAAACTAAGTCCATTTACAAGTAAAATACGGAAAAAATGGATTTCTTTTTTACAAAATTTAGAACGTATGTTAAAAATGTAGCCCTTCCCTGATACAAAATTGTGCTTTTGATGTCACCGTTCATTAAAACTGACATAAAAAATACACAAATGAAACTTTTTGTGAAAGAGAAATATATGTTGACCATTCATTTTGAGCTAAAATTTACATTCCGTGATTTGCATAAAAAAATTAGGATTGATGCACTTCATATTATACTTTTTTGAGATTTCAAGAGAACAAGGGGTTATTTTGGTAGCAGTTGACTTCCAAATGGTCATGTTTCACTACAATACTTTAAACATTGGTTGAAGACATATAGAAAGGTGATACATTTACAATTCGGGATATTCCTGGTTTCTATGAAGTTAAACTTAAGGTCAAATATTGAGAAAGCTGTGAAAACTGAAAAAAACATGGTTGATTTAACTTGATTATATAGGGGGTTTTAGTAATCTGACACCTTTACGCACCAATAATGAACAGTAATGTCATTATAATCCCCCTTAATTCGCCTACTACTAACCAAAATAGACATTGAATTTTCAGAAGTTATTTACACAAAGTTTACTTCCTTAAATAAATGTATTACTAACTGTTTACAATACCGTGCTACTGTGTAAGGTATTAAATACCCCAGCTGACTTATTTAAATGATAAAAAGTCATCTGATTCTAAGAACTTTACTTTAACCTATGAAATCAACTGTTGACACAGAGACATTTCTTGACTTTGTGTAATTTTGATAGCATAATAAAATATTAAGATTAAAATGGCAATACTTTCACACGTTAACTATATGCAAAACATTCAAAGTCAATGATCCATGTCTAAATGTGTTGGGCCAACAAATCGCCATGGAAATAAGAATTATCAATGCTAATACAACTGCATACCATTCACTACTTATAAGTCAGTGGCGGATCCAGAAATTTTTCATAAAAGGATGGGGGGGGGGGGGGGGGGGGCACTGACTGCCCTAAGATTGGGCCCGCTCCTGTCATGCTTCAGTGATTCCCTATATAATCAACCAAATTTTTCCCACAAAAGGGGGGGGGGGGGCGGGCCACTTTTTGGATCCGCCTATGTAAGCAGTTCCCTTTAAACTAGCTAAAAACAAACTTTACTATGTAAACTATGCACACATTTCAAAGCCAATGAACCATGATGAGTGGTCAAGGTTACATAATTTCAAAGACTGCATACCAGGAGAGAACCAATGACATTTCGCACGAAAACTGACCAATCATGGTGGGTCACATTTAGGAAAAGAGTCTGTTTTTAAATAAAAAATGTAATGTATCCCATTTGATTAAATCAAACATCCAAGTTTCTAAGCCTGTGACGCCAATCCAATGATTATTGTTTTACTATTTTGTGTGGCTCAAACACGGTCAAATACGATCTGCTACCTTGGGGATTTGCTGCCGAACTTGCGACTTGAGAACTCAGTCTGTATAGTTTGCTTAAGTGACCTGATGACCTGAGGCAATTTTTAAACTAACCTCGTGACCTAATGGGCAAACTATAGAACGCCATTTTTCGACTGATTTATGTTATACATTGAACTTGTATTGTGAATTGTGCCTTTGCTAGTATTTTATCGCTTCATACACTTTACTAAAATAATTGGAAGTTTTAAAAATTCATGTGTACTGGCCTGTTTTTTGGGGTTACTGGCTCTACTCCTTTGAAAAAGTATGCTTCCTTCCATATATCTAAATATATGATATACTTATTTAATATAACATTGAGAATGGAAATGGGGAATATGTCAAAGAGACAACAACTCGACCAAAGAGCAGACAACAGCCGAAGGCCACCAATTGGTCTTCAACGCAGCGAAAAAATCCCGCACCCGGAGGTGGTCCTCAGCTGGCCCCTAAATAAAAATGTGTACTAGTTCAGTGAAAATGGACGTCACAATAAACTCCAAAACATATAAATGAACTAAATTTAAAAAACACACAAGACTAACAAAAGCCAGAGGCTCCTGACTTGGGAAAGGCGCAAAAATGCAGCGGGGTTAAACTTGTTTTGTGAGATCTCAACCCTCCCCCTATACCTATAGCCAATGTAGAATAAAGAAACACGTAGCAATAATATGAATGTTTGTTAACTTTGAATTGTGTATGCTTTTGTAAATATTGTAATGTATGTCTAGGTTTGGACTTTACACCCATAAATAATTTGATTTGATTTTGATTTGATTTATTACATTAAAATCCCTCCTTGTGCATTTATAGTTATTCTATAATTTTATTTGTAGTGTTTACATTTGAACTGCAATAGTGCAGAAACATGGAATTGCTTTCTTTATGTGTGAGTGAAAAGAATTTTGAATTATGCTAATTTTGAATTTTGAATTTGAAATATGAATGATCCTTGTCGCCTATCTATCAATTGATATGAAGTTGGTACAAATCCGAACAATATTTGTTTTGAAAAAGCGTAGTTTTTTTATGAAATATTTAGAAAAAAATATTTATAGGTGACGATAACTTATTGCATATCGCAATAGAAAAATATAAATGCATCGTTTCCCTACCATGTATTTTTTACCTATAGCTATCGGATGTAGTTACGGCTGTGATTTGTAATCGCATATGAGCGAAAAAAATATGATTTGAATCAAATAATTGTGATTTAATCAGTAATTTTAAAATGAATTTAATCTTAAGTTGGTAAATCCTATATATCATACCTTTCAAACTGAAAATAGTAACAAATTCCAGCGGCTCTTCCCTGCCACTCATTACATAGTAAGTAGGAAAGTCCCCCCCCCCCCCCTTTTTGAGATATCAAATGGTTTTAGAAAAACACATGTAAAGAATTAAATGCATAATCATTTTAGAAGGGGTTGACCCCATTCCTAAGAGATCAAAACGCCATTCCGTACGGTATCCGTCAAAATACAAATATTTGCCATTGATAAATGTGTAGTACAAATATTGTAAAATCTTGTCTTAAAAACAGGAGCCAGAAAAAAAAGCGAAAACGTTTAACCACTTTTAAAATTATCATCGTGTTATTGTGAAGACTATAACATAAAACATACTATCTTACCTTATAAGGCGTAATGGAAATTAAATAATGAATTTCGATGTCCATAAACACCTGGAGTATTTAGATCGATTACTCGTTCTAATTTTTCACCTATTTAAATACCACTTTTCATAATACATGTAAATCATTGTTGTCTTAATTCCAACAAATCGGTTCATAAGCGACAGAAATCAAAACAATAATACTTTTAGAATAAAGGAAAGCGTTCTCGACCAATGAAATTGTGGGATTTGATAACGCTAACGCTCGTACTTAATCATGAAGAAAGGGATTATCATTCTCTTACATATACTTTACGTTAGAAAAAAAGGATGTTGTTTTGTTGTTTTAACAATTTTAGTCTATTTCTGAACTAAAGTCACATTTTTACCTGTATTGTACATGACAAAATTTATATAAGATACTGAATTCTTCTATTAAATTAAGGGAAATGTGCAAAATATATACAAGAAAATATGTGCAATTTTTGGAAATATCTTATAAATTTGCAAGGAAAATGCATTGAGTTTGACAAAAATATACAGAAATGAGAAAATTGGGAATGGAAATGGGGAATGTGTCAAAGAGACAACAACCCGACCGAAGATCAGAAAACATCCCAAGGCCACCAATGGGTCTTCAACACAGCGAGAAAATCCCGCACCCGGAGGCGGGATTCAGCTGGCCCCTAAACAAAAATGTGTACTAGTTCAGTGAAAATGGACGTCACACTAAACTCCAAAACATATAGATGAACTAAAATTAAAAAAACATACAAGACTTACAAAGGCTGGAGGCTCCTGACTTGGGACAGGCGCAAAAATGCGGCAGGGTTAAACATGTTTTGTGATATCTCAACCCTCCCCTTATGCTTCTAGCCAATATAGAATAAACAAGCACACAGCAATGCACACAGTGAAACTCAGTCCAAAAGAAGTCCGAGTCCGATGTCAGAAATGGTAACAAAAGAAACTAAGCAAAATGACAATGATACATAAATTAACAAAGGACTACTAGTAGTTACTGACATGCCAGCTCCAGACCTCAATTAAACTGATTGGAAAATTATGTCTTCATCATATGAAAATCAAGCACAATCCTGTAATTGTACATTTTAAAGAAATTATTTGTTAGACTGTGTTATTAGAAATATACATGCAAATACACGATGTTTTATGTTCATTATAAGCTTGTGAAACTGAAATCTAAAAAATGCCAATCTTTGCTGCATATTGATAAAATAAAAATTGGAAAAAATCATGTACATACAAAATCTAAAGATCTTTCGGGTCACCAATTTTTGGAGTGTTCCACAAAGTCCTTATCATATTACAATTTCCAAAAATATACTTATTATTCACATTCTAAGTTTTTGAGTACACCAGTCTGCTCTTGTCACATGAAAATTCAATATAGAAATTGTGTCTTTTCATGAGTATAACAATATAAAAGCCTGTCTGTGCAGGTTAAAAAATAAAGATAAATATTCTTATAAAGTAGGCACCTTTTTACTATTTTTATACAATTTTAAGAAAAGGTCGTCTCGATGTATATCAATCGATTCATTTGAATGTTTTCCCTTACTTTCTCTGATCTAGCTACATATATATACGGACAATTAGCATGGTCCAGAGAGGTATACAGCTAGTATAAAATAAATTGAAGTTGGTACTCCAGGAATTTATTCGCATAGCAACATTTTAAACCAATTTTACACCAAGCTCCTTTAGTCTGCTGTACTCGTCGTTTTCTATTTAAGGAGGGAAATGATAACATTAAATGGAAGTTTTGTTTTTATTTCAACTTATTTCTGTTTTTATTATTTACCTGAACCACTGTGTATCATCGCCACCGGCAATTGGGTACCAATGAAACGGAGAGAAAGGGAAAAGTAAATAAACAAGGAAAGAATTCCTTTAATTTTAACCATTTCTACCGTTTCGATGAGGTAACCGCTTTTGAAACGATTTTCTGATATATAAAGCTTTATTTGTTTATGGCAAAAAGTAGCAAACAAAGACACGATTGTGTGTTTCACTCCGAAAATCTGTGCACTTGGTACTAGTCAATCACCCTCCGGCGCCCCGTTGGCCAGATATCCAACTTTTTTTCATTCTTTTTTCAAATTCAGACAAATTCTTAGATTATGATAGTGTGACTTCATATTTTCTGATATTCGCTATCAAAAAGACGTTTTCTAAAGAATATGACCACAAGAGTGCACACGCTGAAATGTCTCGCCTTCTTTACTAATCACTGATATTATGTTGATAGTCCTTATAATATAAAGCTTTACTACAACTGTCACATAAACTTAATATTAACCAAGAAAACTAAACATTGACCAATGAACCATGAAAATGAGGTCAAGGTCAGATGAACCATGCCAGGCAGGCATGTACAGCTAACAATTCTTCCATACAACAAATATAGTTGACCTATTGCTTATAGTTTAAGAAAAAACAGACCAAAACACAAAAACCTAACACTGAGCAATGAAATGTGAAAATGAGGTCAAGGTCAAATAAAACCTGCGCGACTGACATATAGATCATAAAATATTTCCATACACCAAATATAGTTGACCTATTGCATATAGTATTAGAAAAAAAGACCAAAACTCAAAATCTTAACTTTGACCACTGAACCATGAAAATGAGGTCAAGGTCAAATGACACCTGCCAGCTAGACATGTACACCTTACAATCATTCCATACACCAAATATAGTAGACCTATTGCATACAGTATAAGAAAAACAGACCAAAACACAAAAATTTAACTATAACCACTGAACCATGAAAATGAGGTCAAGGTCAGATGACACCTGCCAGTTGGACATGTACACATTACAGTCCTTCCATACACCGAATATACTTGACCTATTGCTTATAGTATCTGAGATATGGACTTGACCACCAAAACTTAACCTTGTTCACTGATCCATGCAATGAGGTCGAGGTCAAGTGAAAACTGTCTGACAGGCATAAGGACCTTGCAAGGTACGCACATACCAAATATAGTTATCCTACTACTTATAATAAGAGAGAATTTAACATTACAAAAAATGTTAACTTTTTTTTCAAGTAGTCACTGAACCATGAAAATGAGGTCAAGGACATTGGACATGTGACTGACGGAAACATCGTAACATGAGGCATCCATATACAAAGTATGAAGCATCCAAGTCTTCCACCTTCTAAAATATAAAGCTTTAAGAAGTTAGCTAACGCCGCCGCCGCCGCCGCCGGATCACTATCCCTATGTCGAGCTTTCTGCGACAAAAGTCGCAGGCTCGACAAAAACGGTTTTTGTTTATTGTACGGCGAATTGCAAAATAACAACTTGTTTCTGTACGGCGAATTGCAAAATAACAACTTTGTTTCTGTATGGTGTCTTGCAATATACTGTAATGTAAAGATGAAATTAATCACTGTATAGATAATAACAAGGGGTGATATGGTGTACATAGCAATGCGTTACCAGCTTACAAATATACGAAATAAACTACATAGCAAAAAAGGTAAAAAAATATATGCCGTCAATCTCATTCAGATGTCATCAAAAAATGGTTTCTTCGACCTAATTATCCTAAATATATTCATATGTCGTTATATATTATATATTATCAGCAAAGAAACCGCCGGCTTAGAGGATTTAGTTCTTTTGTAGGACGTCAAACATCCAAACTACTAATACGGCAGACTATAAATAGGTAGCAACAAAGACAGTCGATCACAGCTTGACGGATTGAGGTGTATGCTCTTGTGTTTTCTTTTTCTTTTTAAGTTATGATTACTTTATTCTTGAGATAACTTCTCTTATGTGTGCGACATCATTATCTCACTTTTAGTTTGTGTATCAAAATTTTAAGAAGACGCACACCACCTATTGTTGACCCCATTGCTTTCTATGTTGAATTATTCAATTTCAAGCATTTATTGGAGTAGGGCTTTGCTCATTGTTGAAGGCCGTACGGTGACCTATAGTTGTTAATTTCTGTGTCATTTGGTCTCTTGTGGAGAGTCGTCTCATTGGCAATCATACCACATCTTCTTTTGTATATTCGATCCATTCATTGTCAATTGACTACATTACATTGCCTCGCATATCTTGTTAACTCGGATATATAAGAGATGTAATGTAATCTATAAAACAAATAGATACTAGAAGTTAGAAATAATTGAAAGGGTTTTATTTACGGAAACTTCATGGATTTTTTTTTTATGTTGTAAGGATAAAATATTGACAAAATATGGAAAAAACATATATTTTTGGTATGATGCTAGGAGATTTAATACGACTGTGTAGCATAATATTGTGTTTACGATAATCTACAATGCCGTCATTCAAGCGAACTGTGTTTCAATCAAATGTATAATTAGGTATATTTGAACTATTTCTTGAAAAGGACAGCATAATATAAATATTATAAAACTAACAAGTTGCCATACAGTTCGAAAACAAGTTGCCGTACTTTAAATATGTCAACAGGAGCAAGTTGCCGTACTTTAGGCTGGATTCGTTTTTACTGATATTCTTTAGAAAACATCTTTTTGATAGCGAATTTCAGAAAATATAAAGTCACACTGTCATAATCTAAAACTTTATCTGGAAAAGGAATGAAAAACAGTTGAAGTTCTGGCCAACGGGGCGACGGAGGGCGATCGACCTCGAAATTTTCTGGTACCAAGTGCACTGTTTTGGAGAATAACACAAAATCTTATCTTTGCTTGCTACTTGTTGGCATAAAAATTTAAAGCTTTATATATCAGAAAATCGTTTCAAAAGCGGTAACCTCATCGAAACGGTAAAAATTGTTAACATTAAAGGAATTCTTATCTTGTTTATTTAATTTTTCCTTTCTCTCCGGTTCGTTGGTACCCAATTTCCGGTGGCGATGATACACAGTGTCAGAGAACGTTTTCCCGTGAATTTATAATTGATAGCGTCCTTGCTAAAATGGGACAAATATTGAAAAGATCTAGTTTTCAGTGTTTACAGGGGAGGTAATATTTTGTCATCAGATTTCCCACTGACAACGTACTCGCTACAACAACATTTACCGACCACGTGACATATTCTTGGGTTGAAGGATACACCGCTTTCTTATGAAACCACTTTTTGACTAAAGGACCCCGCACCACCA